GCTGTTGTAGTTGTTGTTAGGTGTCATCGATTTGGTTCTGACCCATAGCAACCCTAGGTAGAACAGAACAAAATACTGCCCAGACCTGTGCATCTCCATTGTTTCTGTGCTTGAGCCCATTGGTGCAGCCACTGTGTCCATCCATCTCATTGAGAGCCTTTCACTGCGCTTCTATTTTACCAAACATGATGTCCTTTCTCCAGGCCCTGGTCTCTCCTAGCAACACATCCAAAGTATGTCCGATGAAGTGTCACCATCCTTGTCTCTAAGGAGCACTCTGGCCATCCTTCTGCCAAATTTCTTGGCAAAGACTAATGAATGCCCCCAGTGCTTCATCGGCTGTTTGAAGCATTTCAAATGGTATTCCATCAATTCATGGAACCTGGTTTTTGCCTAGTGCCTTCAGTGCTATTGTTTCTTGCTACCTCTCAGAATAGTTGAATGTTGACTAGCTTTTTTGGTCCTGTGGTCCTGTATATTTGTCCATCTTCTTTGGATGTTTCCTGCATCAGTCAATATTTTGCCCATAGAATCTTTCAATATTTCAGCTTGAGGCTTGAAGTTTGTCGAGTTCTTTCAGTTTAAGACATGCTGAGCATGGTCTTCCATTTTGGTTTTCTGCCTCTAGGTCTTCTAACTCTAATCTGAATTAAAATAAATCCATTTTTAACAATTGGTTAAAAAGGCCAAGCTCTGAGTTGTTTTCAAAGCATAACGTTCAAGTAACTGTTAGTTATTATGTGTAACATTAACTGAGGTAGGAAACACAAAAAGAAATTCAAGGTTAGAGAAAAAGATGATTAAGTTACTTTTCAAAAAGATCTTTTCATATATAATTTTATTTACTTGTTGTTGTGGTTGAGACTATACACAGAAAGACAATGATCAATTCAACAGTTTCCACATGTGCTGTTTAGTGACATGATGACCTTGCTTGGGATGTGTGGCCATTCTCACCCTTCTTTGTTGAGCGGTTCCTCCTTTGCTAATGTAAATGGAAGTTGGCTTTAAATATGTTGAATTTTCACACATTGGAGAAGCTATTTTATGAAACATACAGGACTAAAAAATTCACGATTGAAATTACAGATTTAAATATTGGCAACGTAAGCGAAACAAGAGCAGTGGATGGAATATGACAAGAAAAGAATATAGAGTGAAGTGAGAAAGCGTGAGAGATTTCTCTTGACACTTGAAAAAATATTTAGGGGATTTCAGAATCAAGACAGAAGAGAAGAATGAAGGCAAAGACAGGAGACTTGAAGATGTTTCCTCACACAGAGAAGATCAGATTAGACTCAGGAGAGAAATCAGATCTGCAAACTCGCCATAAAGTATGGTTATAGAACCTAGCAGTGTGTCAGACACTGTGGGTATGTTCCAAATACTAATCAAGAGAAGCAACGCTATTATCAGACTTGATGGATAAGTTGAGCTGAGAAATTAGAAATGGTGTAATAGGTCAAAAGGATTAAACTGATTGGAGTAAGGCCAAAAAAAATTGTGTAAAGATCCAAGACTGGTTAGAGTTCTTTCATATCAAATCTAATCAGATGGTAGCCTGGGTCAGAACACACGAGGGAAGTGATATTGGTCAATGGTTTCAAGTAAGAAGTGGCCCAAAGGACCACTGGAGATTGACAATTAGATATGCAAGCGGTTGCATTCGTTATGCAGGTGTATTAGTTTTTCACATTGCACTGGCCTAAAGGAGAGGTTTGTAAATGAAGGCAATGAATGAAGCCATCCTTATGTCTGTAAAACACTGATTTTAAGCTTATTGTAAAGGGTTGTTCTGCGGAAGTACTAGGTGGAATAAAGGAAAGGCTACTTGGGGGCGGGGAGGGGGGCAGATTTGATTGTGGACTGAGAGCAATAATAAAGAGAAATAGAAAGGAAAAAAGAAAGCTTAATTTAAGGAATCAACGTGAGAATCAGAAGAAATGCAGCCGAAGTTCCCATGGAGAACGAGCTGTGGAAGCAATGTCTTTGCCTTCTGAAAGTGAAGCTAAACAGTGAGGGAGGTGAACAGAGTTTACAACTTGTGTGCTTTTTTCAATTCGTAAAATCAAGCTGGGTCACCCACTGATAATAATGCAAGCAGATATACAGGATAAAGGCTTGAGAAGAGAGAAAAGGTTGGGGAGAGCAGTGAGAGAGAAAGAGGGCTGTACGGGACACCTGAGTGATAAGAAGACCCAGCGCGGGGAGGAGTTCATGAGGAGACAAGGCATTCTCTTGCAGTGAGGATAGTCAGAAATTCTTTAAATGGAGGAAAATAAATGAACAAAACAGTTATTTTTGCCTGGTGGGAATAAAGGAAAGAAAGGGAAGAGGGAATCTGAGAATGTCCATAAGGATCTAATGAGAATCCCTGACCAATCCCTGATCTGTGTGAGGGCTAGGGCCACGTCCTATCACAGTTCCTGCCAAGGGGCTCCATGCATTTTCAAAAGCACACCATAATGGTGAAACTCGTGAAGGAAAGTACTCTTGAACTGCAGGCTGGGGAGTGGTGAAGTGAAGTTAGAGGAGATGGGTCACCTCAGACATCTAGAAAGTTTATGAGAAACAAGAAGAGTGTGTGGGAGGTAGAGCTTCTGGGAAGAGAAAGACTACAAATGAAGCAAGGTTGCAGGCAGAGAGAGTAATTTCATAATCGACATTTCGGAGGAGCAGTTTCAAGTGATTCAGAGGTCAGGCTCTTACAATGTGGTGGTAGAGTCAACTGGAGGCACGGTCAACGATGTGTGAGGACTGCCTGTTGAGGGTCCCCCACCCCCACCCCGGGGTCCATGAGGATGGCAGCAGAGGGGGTCTGTGAGGCCAAGTCTTTGGGGATTAAGAAGACATCACCCATAGGTAACAGTAGCAAGAACCTTTCTCTACCATCAAGAGAACAATATCTGTCCTCTTTACCCCTCAGAGATCTTTTGTGGATCAAATATAGGACTCGCTGTTTTGGTTGGAAAGAGATATAAGGGCAGAGCTGTCATATCCTTAACAACAACAACAACGAGGTGGCTAAATGGAGAAAGAAAAGGAAACTACATAAATGTGTCAGAAGGAACTTCGGGAGACACAGAATAGTGGAGAGAGGATCATGATAAAAGTCCAAATGTCAGGGTGCTTTGGGAGAAGCAGTGCCAACCAGCCTGAAACTGGTTTGGGGTATAAGGAAATAGGCAGAGGAAATCCATTTTAGTGCTAATTGTGTGCCAAGTTCTAGGATCTTTATCTACATCATCTTGAATTCCCATAGCAATCGTACAAGGTAGTTATTATTGTCTTTGGTTTACTATTGAGGAAACAGAAGCTCTGGTTAAGTAACTTTCCCAAGACTGCAGTTACTAAACAGCACCATCAGAATCCAATCCAGGCAGATCAAATCCCACTCCTTTTCCACTACATTGCATTACACTTTGATGTGTTCAGTACTTTATAGGGGGAAAGTTAATAATAATAATAAAAACATTGCAATGGTGTACAGTCTCAGAAATAGAGGAATGGTAGTAAAAAATAGAGAAAGTTTAGTTGGGGGTGGATGTGGGAAGACAGGATTATGGGCGACTCTTGCGGACAAGAGGTATCTGCCAATAGTGATTTCTGAGATTGAAGAGTTAGGGAGCTGGTAGGTGGACAGGAAGCCAGCAAAAAAATTAACCAGTTTTAAATTTCAACTGAATATTTGATATTCTGTTTTGATGTTAGGCTATGGTGTCTACAGAATGTCGATTTTCATTGGTATGGAGGGTAGCTACAGCTCTTTTTCCCTTTTAAAGTTCGAGTCTCTTAATTGACTTGAACAGTCAAGCAGCCATCTTACCACGTTAGTAAGTGCCCCTGAGGAATCAATTAGAAAATCCCATCTCAGAGGACTTACATATGTACAGTAACAGCTTGGCTTAATTTACTAATTCATCTAATCATCCTGCCATCTTATTAGGCAATTTCCCCAAATGTTGTTATAATTCTCACATTAAAAGGGGAATATCTTCTGATTATATTTCTGCAAGATTAGAGAAAATATATAGAATATCCGGCTAGATCATCAGTTATGCCTTCTAATGTACTTGATGGAGGAAAATAAATTAATCACTTTCCTGGTATAGTCACAGTATTTGAAAACTGCTCTTTCAAGGTTTTTGAGTGCCATTTTTACAATCTTGCTTGTGTCATTTATTTGCTCAATAAATCTTTTCTTTGTATATAGTGTAGAGATACATACATCATCTGGGTTTCAAAGAGGCTCATCAAGAATTTTGAGTTAGGAAATTTAGAGTAAAGGGAGCTGTAATTCAGAGTAAATGTTGTAAAATAGCCTTCACACCCCAAACTTTTAGACGTGTAAAGAGTCTGAGGAGCCCTGGTGGCGTGGTGGTGATGTATTGATTGCTAACCTCAAGGTCAGCAGTCCAGAACCACCAGTGTATTAGTCTGGGTACTTTAGAGAAATGAATCAACAGACACTCATGTATAAGAGAGAATTTTATATAAAGGCTAACTGTGCATCAAGAACACATCCCAACCCAGTGCTGCCCAAGCCCACAAGTCCAACATTCACCCATTAACCCATATGTCTAACACCAAGCCACAAAGTCCTCCTCCATCTCACAAAACAGAGCACTGATGCCGACTGCAGGAGGAAAGCCTAGTCAGTGAACGTGTAAGCATCTCAGCACTGGCAGGGGTCTCCACATGGCTGCTCCAGCACCCAGGGCTGCATCGGGGTAAGTCCATGTGGCTTCTCCCTGGAGATGTCTTGCAAGAAGTCAGCCTTGCAAACTGAAGCAGGGAACTGCTAAGGCAGCTGCACTCTGGTGCTACCATCACAAAGCAAGAGACCCGAGAACTCGAAAGATGAGGCTCACAGAGCCATTTATCCCTCCGCCCTTCAATTAACCCCACATGTGTTTATAGGCCAGGTTGGCACAATAAACTAACTAACTCAACCAGCCATTCTGCAGGATAAAAGAGAGGCTTTCTACTCCCATAAACAATTACTCTTGAAAACAGGGGCGGTTCTACCATGTTTTATAGGCTCACTATGCATTAGAATTGACTCAGTGGCATTCAGATTTTTTAATCGTTTACATTGAGTTTAAGGAATCTTACATAATTCAAATGAGATTGGCTTTCTTTGGACAGGTTCCCTTCTGACTACTGACCCAGGTGAGGGCCCCTACTGTGATCCTCCCTCTGTCTCCTTATCCCTTCCCCACTTGCCTGGGCATTCTAACTTGGAAAGGATTGGCCAGGTTGATGTCCAGACTCGACCACACTAAAGAAACTCTCCCATAAGACATCTTCTTTACCTCACTGAATCTTTCTCCCTCTCCTTTTCTCTCCATTTAGCTTCTCAAAAATCCCCTCTATCTCCTCAGCAATTCGGCTTTCCCCCTTTATGTTATTTTATCTTGTTGAACTTTTGGTGAACATTTTCAGAACATATTTGTTTTCCATTCAATAATTTATACACATTTTATTCTGTGTCATGGGTTGCAATTCCCTCACAGTACTCGTGTTTCCCCAGTCTCCTCCCTGGGTTCCCTGTTTCGATTTGCCCTACTTTCCTGCCCCTGTCTGACTTCTGAGCTCTGTTTAGAGCAATTGCCCTTTTGATCTCATATGATTGTACTGAAAACTGCATTCCTTCCTTCCTGGTGTTATCATTCACTTTTTAGGTCTGTCTATTGTTCAGGTGAATCTGATCTCTGGGGTGGGTTTGCCGTCAGGGTAAAGGGTATCTAATTGCCAGTCTCGGGGATTCTACTAGTCTTTATCAAGCCAATAAGTCTGGCTTTAATGTTGTTCTACATTTTCTCTCCCTCTGTGTTCAGGACTTTTGATTGTGATTATGATTAGAATAGCTGGTAGTGATACTTGGGTACCATCTAATACTTCTTGTCCGCAGACAGTGAAGTCTATGGTTCACATGGTCCATTAGCACTTTTCACTCATGTTTCTTGGGTCTGGTTTTCTTTCATCTTCTTGGCTCTGGAGAAGGCGAGAAAATAGTTTTGTCTTTGATGACAAATTGCCAGAGAGGAATTAATTTATTTCTAATTGCTTTCACACACACAAAAAGCTTTGTACCAAAGCTCTTACTGGACTCATAGTAAACGGTAGGTGAAAGAAAGATACACGTATCACCACTGGGAAGAGATTGTTGTTGATTCTCTGTGTGTTCTGCTCCAACTGATGATCATTCCAAGCACAACAGCACTCAACTGCTTTGATCCCTAGGGATTTTGTTAACAAAAGTTTAAAGAAACATGTTACCATGCCTTTCTTCTCAGACTAGGGTTCTTAATTACCATTGATTTTTTTCATCACCATATTCAATAACTTTTGACATTTTTATAAACACTAAAATGCCATCTTTTGTCTGCTCTGTGGCCCCTGCTGAACTGAGTATGAATATGTATATAATGGCTGAAATAAAATTATAATAATAAATGAAGAGGTGAGTGGGGTTTCTTCACACTTCCATAGAATGGTCCTTGGTCCATCTAAACTGTCCGTATGCAAGGAAGTATTGATAAGCTATCAGAATGTCAAGTGGACATTCATGGCTAACTGTATAAGAACTTGATTTATTGCTCAGTTTTCAAGGAGTATTTGGGGTTGTGAGGCTCATAAACATTATTTTAATGTTGACTTTAAATTATTTACTATATAAGGCATACCAATTAATCAAGCAGAAACCATTCCTTACATAATTCTATACAAAAAATATACTCATTTTTATATAATCCATCATTTGTAAATTACTGAATGTCTGTACCTATCAACTTGATTTGTACACAGTCCGGCAAAATGCCATTAGTTTAACACATATTTTGGTGTAATTTAATGTATTTATGCCTTTGGTTCTTGAACTTTCTAAACTGTAATTGCAGGTGTTGCAATGCTAATGAAGAACAATGAAGTATGTTCAAGTTGCAATATGATCCTCAGTTTGCTTCTTATTTAGCTCATGGCAGTGTAGGCTGAGCTCAGCTAAGCAGTTCTGATCTCAGCTTGGCTCCCTTCCTCTTGTGTCTGAGGGCAGCTGTAGATTAGCATCAGGTCAGATCTGTTGATCTTGGCTGGGAGCTCTGACATATGGAATCTCTGTTGGATTAACTGGGTTAACTTGACTCTGTTCTTCATGGCCTCATCATCTCACTATAGCCTGGTCTTGTTAACATGATGGAGGAAGAGGTTCAGAGAGAGAAAAAGCCTATACAGTTTCTTAAGTCCTGGGCTAGGCCTCAGCACACCATCACTTCTGCCACATTCTATTAGTTACAAGTCACAAGATCAACCTCAAAGAGCTGGTTAAAGGGACTCCACTTCCTGCTGGACAGATCTACGAGCTTCCATTTCTAAGGACATGAGGACAGGGAGTTCTGAACAATCATGACCACTCTAAGTGCCTTGGATGGTGTCTGGCTTCAATAACAAAGTATTTAATTGACTAGCTAGCTATTTCAGTAAATGTAAATGGCCCTGCAAGATCAAAGTGATTTTGATTAATCAGGTGAATGAGATCACATAAATTCTTCACTCCTACTAAATTATATTTTACAAACACAACACATAGTTGAAAATGTATCAAAACTCAATCCAAATACAGGGGAAGGAGTCAACAAAGCAGGAACTACACTAGTTTTCTCCATCATCCAGTTTGGCACACCATCACCAACACCCACTAGTCAAGGTAAGACAGGCAGACCATGAGAGCCTGCCATTAAGCAGAGACCTTCATTTTCACCTTGACCAATGGAGGGGTGGGGAAGGGAAGGCCAGGAGCTGGGAATGGGAGGAGGAAAGAGGCAGGCATTCTTCCCTTAGGGATATCTGGAGGGTGATACTATGAATTACCACCTTGGGTGACCCAACTGTAGCGGTGCCACTGCTTAGATTTGGGTCAGTTGGGCATGTCACAGCAGCCTGTGCGATTTGTTTTGGACTTACTTGAAGGTTGTGAAAAGTAGCAGCACAATTTCATATGGTTCGTCTCTCGAAACATCTATGCAGACAGCTTGGTAGGGACTCACCCACTCTTTCCCTGAAAGATGGCGCAACTATCTTTATCACCTAAAGGTTGAAAAGAATAAAGTCGTTTAAGAAACATGTTATTGTAACAGGCAATAGGATCCTGTTTCTCCAATCCGTAGTTTATATCTCAAACACTGTTTCGAATCCAGAGTTCTATTAAGTGTTCCACGATAAGTAGTTTATTCAGATTAAGCATTTGAAATATCTTATTTTGCATTTATATGATGAGCAAATCAACCTGCACTCAAATTTTTAAAAATCTGTGTCCACTTCATATAGTCATTCATAAGTATGTTTATGCCTTGCTGTAATGTTGAATTGGTGATACTGCAATACAAACATCTATTTACTGCTGTTTGAATATGCTGTATTGGTTTAACTTTTTGCACACAAAAAATACAAGTTTCACTTTTCTAAGTAGCTTGCCTTACATATTCACTGTTTTTAGAAATCTCACTCTAGGCTTTCCTGGTTTGTTTGTTTTATACATTTGGTTTTTACATATAAGATTTAACTTAATGATGATTAATTCAAAGCCAAATTTCTTTCTCAAATGTACATTTCTGAAGAGACCTGGTGGCCTTTATTTGGCTGTTTTGATAAGACCCTGAATTTTAAACCAGCAGTAGCTGTTTAAACCAGAAAGTAGCTGTTTGTTGAGGCTCTAATTAGCATCTCACTTGTTCATCTAGTTGTCTTAATAATTAAATGTCATCTAATTTAATATAAAAAGTTTGCCAAACTGGCTGCTGATGTATGAATTTAAAAATGTATTAAACCTTTAATAAACAAAGCAATAAACTGTATTGATTACATAACTAAACTTTGATTACTTTAACTTTATTTGCAAATAGTTGTATCTCATCATGTATGTAATAGTACACAAGAAAGAACAATAAAAAGTCAAGTATAAAATAAAACTCTTACTCAAGCTTTGAATATTTATGTATGTCGGTAACTACAATTCAGCGTTAAGGAGACAGTTTAATTTTCTTTATCTGCTTATATGCAATATTTTTAAATGAAAAGCAAGGAAATTGATTTCAAAGAAATATTTCCCAATTACCATATCTTTAAACAAATAAAACATGCATTATATATGTATATATGTGTAATTTTTTTGCATGCCAGCCAATCCCCTCACACATTAGTTTCCTATGCTTGCAATATGAATTATATGTGTGCCCATGGTATTTACAAGGGTATACTGAAAGAGAAAACATGGTAAGTATAACTCTTTAAATTCATCCTTAATGTAAGAAAAACTACTTTCATTATTACAAACTTACTTTTTGAAGAAGAGTCTATGAATCAAATTAGAAATGCCTAAGAATTGTTAGCAACTCACACCAAAGTGACATATGAAACTTTCTCTTTTTTCAAATTCAAAAGCTGGATCTTCTTTGTCAACCAGTTTTCCACAAGTCAATTTTGACTCACAGTGATCCTATCTGGGCCAGAATACGAACTGGACTCCATTGGTATTTCAGGTTGATTTTTCAGAAAGGGGTCAGTAGACCTATCTTCCAAGTTGCCTCTGCAGTTTGGAAGCCAAGCAAGTCAGCCACTGGCACCAGACAAGGACTCTCAGTCACCTAACAGACCAGAAACACTTTGAAGGGAGGTAGCTAAACAGCCAAACAAAAGAAGCTAATTCAATTTACAAATTAGAAGATTTACACTTTTACCTCAGCAGATGGATTTGTCTTCAGAGAGAAATACAATAGAAATGATAAACTATAGGGGTGAAAATACTCCCCTATGGTAAATCTGGCTAGCTTTCCCTCATCATTTTATTGGAGAACTGCTTGGTGGCAGTGAGTCTGGTGTGGTATAGACCTCTGGAGTCTGGTTTTGGATATCCTCATAAGATGTGTAAGTTAAAAGCAATGAACATACCCATGATGACACTGTGGATTTTATCCTTTAAAATGAACTTTTGCTTTAACAGCATGACAGCTTCAAGTCAACATAAAGTATGCAGATTTCTGTGTGCCAGAGATAAGCCGTGGACACAGGCACAATGACTTTGAACTCTTCATCCCAAAGATGCATTGGGTGTGTTTTTTATAAATTGAAATAATAAATAATAAATTGGGTCTAAAAGTAATTTGTGTTTTTTGCTGAGCCATCGACTCCCAAAATATCTGGATTCTGCGTCTCTAAGACATTACATTATAAGCTGCATTCCTTTCTCAAACTCTTATACATGTAAACAGAGGTAAACCGTGGTAATTTTGTTTCTTTTAAAGTTTTTGGTCTTCCTTTTCACCCTGTCAGCTAAAATAGTTCTCTCTTCATTCAGAACACATTAAAAAGGGGAGGATATTCGAACATATGCAATATTCTTCTCTATCAATTCTAGGTCACTAAACACTCTGGTTTACTAAAATATAGATTTTTCATTCACAAGAGGTAGTTCCCTAATTCTTATCTGAATTTTCTAAGGAAGGTGGGGTGGGGGAGAGAGATTTGATAAAGGTATAAGCAGCTCTCAGTATTGAGACCTCATTCTGAATGGGACATTTTCTCATCCAGAAAGCATTGCTATGTCATTTGCTACCTGGTAAAATAAATAGGTAGACATTTGGGGATGTTGACAGATTGCCAAATAGTCATGCTTTCTCTTGTTTTCATCATGATGAAAATTTTCAGAAATGCCCAAGTGTCAACCAAGAATTGACGAAAATTCAACCATTTCAAGATGTACCATGTGCTTGAGAATCGATACTATTAAAGGAGTAAGTCCAAGCTGCACTGAAGGTACCACAAAATCAAAAGCCAACTATGGTTCCAGGAACTGACAGGATTTCTATTGAGATGTCTGAATAAATAGATACAATACCAACAGCACTCACTCACTGTTTATGCCAAGAAATTGGGAAGCCAGATAACTGACCATTCAACTGGAAAAGATCCCTATTGTTGCCCATTCCAATAAAAGGTAACCAAAAAACACAGGAAAATTTTTTAATAATGCCATTAATATCCCACACAACTAAAATGTTGCTGAAGATAATGGAATGACGGCAACAGCAATACATTCCAGGGAACTGTCAGAAAATCAAGCCAGTTCTGGAGATGACAAAGAAGAAGGGATTTTGCTGCTAATCCAAGATGGGTCTTGGATGAGAGCAAAGGATGTCAGAAAGATTCTTGTGTTTTACTTACAAGACAGAGGAATTTAAACGAGTGGATCATTACAAATTATGAATAACATTGTAAAGAATCAAAATTCCAGAATGCTTCATTGTGCTCATGCATAGCCTGTGCATATACCAAGAGGCTGTGATTCTAACAGACAAGGGGCTACTGTGTAGTTTAACATCAGGAAAGGTGTGCATCAGGGTTGTCTATGTCATCATCCTGACTCAATCTGTATGCTGAGCTAACAATCTAAGACACTGCACTATCTAAAGAAGAATGAATGTGGCATCAGATTTAGAGGAAGACTCATCAACAACTTGTGATATGCAAATGACACCCACTTGTGTGCTGAAAACCAAGGCTTAAAGCACTTATGACTGAAGATCAAGGACTAGCGCACACAGTATGAATTACATCTTAGCACAAAGCAAACATCCCCTTGTTTGGCCCATTATTTACCTTGTTTAAAATGGAGAAATGATTGAAGTTGTCAAGGGTTTCCTTTTCCTTGGAGTCACATGCCCATAGAAACCGAAGTCGAGAAATCAAAATACATATTTCATATTACACCGATGCATAAGGTCTCTTTAAAGTGTTTTTTAAAAAAGATATGCCACCCTGAGGTCTAAGCCACGGTATTTTACTTCAATCCCTTCATATGTATGTGAAAGCTGGAGAATGAAAAATTAAGACTAAAAAAGAAGCAATGTTTGGGGATTATGGTATTGGCAGAGAATATTAATTATACCAGGAACTTCCAAAAGAACCAATAGATTCATCCTGAAAGAAGTACAGGCAGAATTATCCTGAAAAATGAGGAAAGCAAAACCGTTGGCTCAGGTATCTTGGACGTCACCTCGAAGTCAGACACGATGCTTGGTAAAGTGGATGCTTGGGTCAGTGTAAAAGAGAAAGATCTCCCATGAGACAGGCTGACAC